TGCTACTGTTGTTCCTAACATGGCCAACACTTAGCTTTTTTGAGGGACAAATACCCTTCAGCAGTAAGTGACAATGTGATTTTGATTCACAGAGAAATTATCACTTTTTATATTTACTCAAAAGTGCGATGATGATGATGATGATGTTTTGTTTGTTTGTTTGTTTTCATTTTATTTGGTTAACACAACAAAGCATCAGTTATTCAACAACTCATAACTTGATGAAGTAGAAGGATAACCAAACGAGATGGGAAAGTTCTGCCAGGATCAAGACTCTGGCTTCAAGTCTGTGATATGGATAAAACAAGTCTTTCTTCTTATCATTCTTCTAGGAACAGCTGTTGCTGAAAGAGCTCCAAATTATGTTTCAGAATAGGAAAAATCATTTTGTTATGCTCTTTAAGCACCATCAATGTACCATTTATATTCAGTATGGAGAATCAAATCTGCTTCAAAGTCTTTTCCAAGAGATGCCATTACAATATCACTTGGGGAAAAATAAGACAGTGGATAATAAAAACTTCTGCATTTACAGATAGACTGTTTTTGTATCAACCCATTACTTGGTAAAATGAAAAAATAAATAACGTAGAAATTTCTAATTTGAATTCTTTCAACTACTTGAATTTTTCTGTAAATTGTGCACCATTTAACGAGATTTTTTAAAAGGACATAACCACAAGATTTGGGTTATGCTATATTTTGAAAAGTACCAAGACGTTACTCAGTAACAGAGCAGTCCATCAAACTTCACTGCCCTAACATATTTGCCAAAAAAATCAGAGCTTTTGGAAATGCCAGACAGGTGTTCTCACTAAAATTTCTGTCTGAATATGCCTACAGTATTTGCAGGAACATTCCTTTCTATACAGGTATTTAGATCACTGTACCACACCCACAATATCCCTTGCCCTCTCTTCACAACTCTAACCCATGACACAAATACAAAAACCACTAAAATGTGTCAAAATGAATTCTACTGATCACTGAGTCTTGAACTTTTTGGATTTTTCTTTTCTTATTTATTTCTCCATGTTAACATCATGTTCATAACCAAGCTCATGTTTGAGCACTTTGACTACTAACTGTGCCTTCTACCCCACTCCCTTATTTTTCTGATTATTGGAGTTTTTGTGTGCTGCTTTGTCAGTTCACCACCAGGTAAATGCAAATACCTTTTGAGGTACAAGCTCTCAAAAACTTCACATCTAAAATATAATTTGTTTCCCATAACGATTACCTGATACTTTAGCTGAGTTCACATACCACAGAGTAGCTACGCTCCATCAATGTGAAGTCAGGAACCTACACCATATTTAGTTACATCTGGGACTCAAGGGATGGGATATTTTAAAGAAGCAGCCAAGAACAGTAGCTCCAAAATAAACATCTATGAAAGAACTAATCCTGCACACTTCAAAGTCATGGGAAAGATTCTTATCAGCTTCACTGTGGGTTAGGTTGGTTTGTTTTTCAGGCCCACTGTCTGTTTTGATTCCTTTGGCTCTGTTTCTCCTCTCTGGTCAGCACCCTGCTACCTCCTAGCGTTTCATGGAACAGCAGGCAGAACATGATGACTTGAAAAGCCAAACAACAGGAGAAAGTTTGCAAAGTGAAACTTCTCAGCAGCTACAGGGTTCAGAAATCAGCCATTTTTCCCAAGAGTCCCCAGAAATACAAAAAAAAATCAAAAATCTTAGTCTAAAGAAAGCTCTGACTCCAAAGTTATGTTACGAGTATGAGAAGGTGCACTCCTGAAAATCCTGAGTGTATTCCAGTAGAAAGTTGTAACTCATAAGAGTTTTATTTCTTTGCTTTAACCTCAGGAAAATAGAAAAAAAAAAATAGACACTTTACTGAACTTTAAAATAAAATAAAAGAAGGCAATGTTCCCAAAATTTTATGAAGAGAATGCTTTCCAGGGTATTAGGGATATAGGATGCGGCAAGACAGCTACCACAACAGAATACAAAGCCCTAGGAAGACTTTAATAACGTTATTTCAAAATCTAGTTATCAGAACCTCAGACTTTGAAAAGCGGTATTTACTGCCCCTAAATAAAACTCATGTATTAGGCAGTATCCAAATATTATTAAAGAGCTGCATTTTGTTTCAGTTACTCAAGTTCCATTTCTGAATATTATTTATTGACCAACTAGTGACAGAAGAGTCAAAATACAGTAATTAGAAAACTTTCAATTTTTTTAATACAGTTAAAAACATGTATAAGAACTGATATAAGTAAATGTCTATTTGCATTTATATATATGCTACTTCAATAATATAATATTGATTATACAGTGCATATGAACAAAATTATAGCTATAAGCCATTCTTTCAGGGCTACAGAACAGCTTTATAGGTCATTAGCTGATAGATTTGCCTTCCGAATTCTAAATGCCAAAGACCAGCTTAATCAAGTTGAAATGTCTCTATAGAGCCCTAAGATTTGGTTACTTAAGCCAGGCACACATGACAGCAGTGTGCTCGCTCACAGCAAATCCCTCTCCCATCTCATCCTGCTTTGCACCACCTCACAGAGAGATCTTGGAAGCCCTTGATTAGCTAAAGTTAATGCCAAGTCTTTAATTAGACATAATCCAAGCCTTCAAAGGGCCATGTCAGTCAACCAGTGTCCTTGGCCTGCCAGCAGCAGAGCATGTTCCCCAGATGCCCAGTCCAGGCTGTTAGAGCGATGTCCCTTCCAGCCCTGTTAGTAACCAGGTGAACAGCACAGAATGCTGGATTTCCCTAATGCAAATGTGTTACGTTTAAATATGTACCATTATTTTAGGAGCAAGACACTGAGAATCAGCTTTATACAATTCCCTGCACGGCCAAATATCCCTGGCTTACGACACTGGGCAGGAGTACCAGTCAAAACCAAGAGGTTTATGGTGTTACTCTGATTTGTTACCTTAGCAGCAGCAGAAGTCAATGTAGGAGATCACTCACAGAGCTGCAATGACTCAATCAATAATGCTGGAGAACAAACCACAGAACATAAATGCCTACTAGAAACAACCCAACACAAAACACAAACACTGACACCCTGAGTGAACAGAGATCTGTCCAGCAGAAGCCTAAAAAAGTCTGAAAATGGCTTTACTTTGTTCCTACACTTCTTGCCTGGTGGGGCACATTTATCACTGAAAGCAACTTCTGAAGCATTGCTCATTTAATTGGCCATCACCACCTGTAGCACCTTCCTTCCTCTCCTACATCACACCAGAGTCATTCTGGGAGTTTGGTATCGCTGTAACGCTGCAATTCTTAGCTAAGCCCAAATATTAGTCACATCACCTATAAAATACATAATGAAAAGCACAGAAGAGTTTAAATCCCTCTTAACAATTATTATGGCATGGCGATTCCCCAACAGAGACCTAGGCCTTTCTTCCATGCCAACATTTAATAATTTCAGCAGGAATAGTCCCTATAGAAAACAAACAAACAAAACTTTTAGACAAAGTTTTTTGTAATGTCATAACTATCCAATTTTTAAAAGACATACAGATAAAGATACCCAGATGAAGTTAAAGCAAATCTAAAAATGATTGCATCAAACAGAACTGCATCTGCCCCAGAGGGCACAGCTTTAGGGTATCAGCTTTTACATCAGCATAGTTGCAGCTGCACACAAGCCAAGTAAAACCCAGATCCAAGGACAAGGTCAGGAAACAGGTTCCCATGATGGAATGGGCAGAAACAGAACCTACAGTCACTGATGCCACTCTGTTTACTGTGTTTGGGAGTTTCTGAGGGACATTTGTTTGTAGATAATTCAGTATCTCCACATAGTGGAGTATTTATATAATATCCTCCTTATGCATATTTCCCTTTTCCTCACATTCACACACTCTTTTGCAATAGATGTTGTAAAGTTTTTACACCAGAATAAATGTAACAGATATTGACTAACAATGGGTAAAAGTTTCTCAGTGTACATGAGATGAGTATTAGCAGATCATATGGATGTGAAAACCATAACAATTTTGACAAGTTTTAGTCTGTTCTGAATGCATGGAAGAGATAGCATCAGATATTTCAAACTATACACTATTTGCAATTGTGTTATTTTCCCACAGACAGGAGCAGGGAATAACCACAGGACCATTTAAGCTGGAGAAGACAACTTGAAGAGAGAGTTCAACCATTAATCAACTAAACCTAGCTATCATTCTTATTGCTGATAGGAAATTATTGTACTTAGTGCTTCTACAGCAAATAACTATGTCACCTACTATTTCAGAAGCTTCAAAGCTTTTGCACTGAAAGAACAATGACAAAGCAGACAATCTTGCTTTCAAAAAGCAGTCTGGGCTGCAAATACTGTGCACCTTTATCTTGTATCACAAATACATGATCATTCAATTAGATTGCTCGACTTACTGAGCAATCTTGATCAGGATATGTAGCTCTGAACAGAGGGGGAGGCTTGAGCTGATACAACACCTCCCCAAAAAAAGTTCTCTTACATACTATAGCAACATATAGTCCACATATACTAATTACTTATACTAAGTATAAAAAGTCAAAATCAGGTAAACATTTGTATTGACTCCACAAAATAATATCACTTTTAAATACAAGTTCATTCTAAAGCAACAGGATTCTTATCTGAATAAAATATCTTTTTAAAACCTTCTACTTGAATGTCTTTTCCCAAATAAGCAGGATTTCACAAATGACATTCACAAAAGCTATTGGGAAGATTTTCAGTTTGGTACAGCAGCACAGCATTAGAGAATTCAATAGACCTTAAGCCATTCCAACCAATTAAGAAACTATAATCAGCATTTCAAAAGACACGCACAGGCACCTCAGGTACCTCTCCCACCTAAAGGAACCAGGGCTCTGCTTTTTTTCTTTTCTTTAAACAGGTAACATGTTACATTGTAAGATTCTCTCTCTCTCTATATATATATATATGTATGTATAGTCTCTTCACACACACACAGAAGCCACTACAATTCCAAAAATTCAAAATGATATCTTACCAAGACTGAACTCCAGCTTTGGCTCATTTGCAATTCTCTGAATACCTTTAAAGATTAAGGAAAAAAGAAATTAGAAATAATTAGATTTCCATGTCTTGGCTTTTAATACATAGCAAAGTTTTCACATGCCTCTAACTGCGTGCCATTGCCACTGCTTTATGTTACAAACTTACAGTGAAAGAGAACTTTGCATTAAATACTTTCCTAGAAAAAAAAAAAAAAGCCTACTTTTGAAAAAGACTTTTCTTTTTAACAAAAACTTTCTGCTGCTGGGAAAGAAGACTAATTAAAAAAACCTAGCTTTTTATGGATGGGTACTTGTAAGACCTTCAATCACAACAACTAAGTACATACTATTGGGAAAATACTAAAAATAACAACTAATTTTTAAGTAGGTATGTCATCATATTAAAAAACAAAACCCATGTTCTATGAAAGTATGTAAATCAGGTTAATATAGTAAAATATAACCACTTTATTGACCTACAAACAAACTGTAGACCGACAAAACCAACTTATTTTTGTTAGAAAATAAGCACACCATTTCCTTTTCTAATAGAACAAGAACATTCTAATCCATTGTGGAATTATGTTCTGTTGCGTATTTTACTGCAAAGGACAATATTTTCTTGTTGTGCTAGAATAGAGGAGTGAACAATAAAGCTGCAGCAAGAGCAAATGGAGGGAAGAAGGGAAGGAAAGGTAAATAACATGGAGTTGTTCACCTGCTGCAGAAAGTAATCGGATCACAACTACAGTCTCAGTGAAGCTTGTAGAAATTTAACAGTGTCTTGTTGACATTTCTGTATTGTCTCCAGAGAACAGCATTAAGTACTTGTCAGTATTGAAGAAATGGGTCAGATGGGAAGGACCAAATTGGTATACGAACTAGAACCAGATTTTTACTTAAAAAAACCCACACAACCATAAAAATAAACCACAAAGAAATAAAGCCCCCAAACCTATAACTTTGCTCCATGCAAACTTGATGTCACTGAATAAGTGTAGCTTCCCACTGTTCTCATTACTGTAGCTAATCAGTCACAGCTGTGCCAGAAAATTTACAGCTGCAGAGCTTGGAAAGGTCAGAAAGATATAACAAATAAGATTGTTATTTTTTTTTTCAAATGGAATTATACCAAATTTCTGAGTAGAATTCTCCCACTAGCATATTAGCCTGAAACACCTTTAGGAAAATGCTGGATGCAGAGTTAATCAACTGACTGGGCAACTGCAGACACCAGAGCACCAAATACAACTCAACATATGGCTACTTGCATTCAAATCCCCTGAGTGCTTTTATATCACAAAGAACAAACCTGTGAAAGCTTTATACATTTATCAAAGTTATCAAACTACATTTTAAACAGTACTCCATATGTTCGTGTAGGACATAAAAGAGGAAAAAAACATTTCTAAGTCTTATGAAGAAAACAGGTTAGAGAGAAAAAGCCATAAACATAGTAACCACACATTCATTCCCCTGAAGGTTATCTGCATAACCCAAAAAATCAGGTAAAAGCATTTAAAGACATTCTCATCAGTGTACGTCCTCTACAACTGCACTTTGACAAGCAAGAAGTTAATCAGCACTATGTACCCTGCGTGTGACACAACCTGTACCGCTAGAGAGACTGGGCCATCTTTGTTGTAGCACTCAAGATGATGAGCATATGCACTTACTTGTAAACTGAGGCTCTCCTAGGCTGTCTACTTGGGATGGAGGGAGAAACTGCCGTGCTTCATCTGATGATCTCTCCTCTTTGATTTCCATGATCAACCTCCGGAGCTGCTGAATTTTATTCCGCAAACCTTCCAAGTTCGCCTCTCCCAGCGCCACAGCCCAAGACTCACAATCTGGCTTTGATGCAGCTTCGAGGTAAAGATCCGGCTCTCCACTCTCAAATTCTGCACTCGGAAAACATAAACACAGTTTTCAGGATTGAAAAGGAAGTGGGGGAATCATGAAAATATTGACATCACACACCATTGAAACCACCACACATATATTTCTTTCCATGATCACAGAACCACACACCCGCCCATCTACCTCTTGAGTCAAACTCTAGCTCCTTCAGACTTGGTGCAGTACTACACCTATCCACAGAGTGGTTCCAAAAGCAATTAATTCCAGAAGCTAAACAGGGTGTCAGAATCAAACCAAAATGGGAAATCCTTTTTCAGCACAGTAGCCTAGCAGGCAGTCTCAGAGCTGTTAACTTGAAAAAGAATTTGATTTAGCAGGGGCAGCAGACATGGTTCTGACAGAGAGTGGGATTCACCAGAATGAATGTGGCCACCATTTCTTCTATTAGAGATTTTCATTACGCTCAGCCTCTCATTCATCCTTGCCAGAATACAGATCACCAACACATGCAGATAATTTAGCACGACATAACTCCTCTGTGAAGACTCAACAGGTTGTATGTGGGAGCTTCTGACCTCATTACTATCCATGTGTCATTTACTGTTCTGCCTGAAGTCTAACTGTTGAATGATCAAATTTTCTAAGAATAAAAGAAGAAAAGGGGTGGGAAAAAAACAAAAAAAAAGCTGAAGCTCACAATGAATCCAAGTAAGTAGCAAGGGTCAGTCATTTGATTAAGATTAGCACAGGAAGAAAAAAACACCTCTTAGGCATTCAAAATTCTGTGATATAGCAGGCTTCACAGAGTCACAAATTCAATGTGACATTTACTGCAACACACACCGAGAAGAGCAAACTGGAAAAGAAAGAAAAATCAATGCTTCTTTAAAAGAAGTTACCAGCTAATTTAGAAACATAAAACTCTATAAAACACCTGTGCTATCGCATTAATAAGGATTGAAGTATTTGGTTGGACACCAAAATCATTCTGACCTAAATAAGCTATATATCATATTACTGGGTGAAAAAGAACACTTTAATGTTTTCATACTTAGTTCAAAAATGCAAACAACATAGAAAAGTTCTTTTCAAGACAATATGAATTTAAATTCCTTTTACTAACTTGTGTATCTAACCTTGGGCACTTGCACACATGTTATTCTAGATCTGTTTGCACTTCATAAACTGAGCATCTGCCAGTTACAATTAACTCTGCTTTTATTGTTATGGAGGGAACAAAAGATGAAACCTCAATTCTGGAAGCCTCTTAAAACTGTACACAAATTCCCACAGAGGTGGGATAAGGGTTTTTTTTTTTCTGAGCTGGAACTAAGGAAATGTAACCACGGCTGCAAATGCTGCTAAAAATGCTGGATAACATTTCATATAGCAGTTGGACTATAGATTTCATAAAGAAAGACTGGAAAGAAGAGCAGAAAGTGAGGGAACCTCTTCCTGGCTTCAGGAGCATTAAAAAAAGCTAATGGGGATTCAAACTCTTGCCTCTAGTTCTGGCTCAGTCAGAAGAGATATTCAGTTCTTGAGAAAAGAATATTCAAAATGTGAGGGAGATGAAGATATTCATCAGGTCCTTGTTTACACAAAAAAATGCCTACTTGAGTGACCAAACCTGAACAAGCTGAGCTTTACTTCTTGTCAAAGATGACCACAGAGACACAGTGTGATCTGGTACTGCATCTGAGCCATGAGGGCAGTAACCTTCAGAAAGCTCCTAATTAGAAAAGCCGATAACTTCGCTGCTGCTCTGGTAAGATCTGCAACAGCAGAGTCTTCTGCTCCCTTCTGTCACTGACATCAACAATTCAAAAGCTTTTTTATTTCATAGTATTTTGGAGCTGCTTGTGGAAAAAATGAAAGGAAAGCCATGTAATCAACCGGCATCAAGATCAAAATTAACCAGAATTCTAATTAAAAATAAAGAAAAACAAAACTGATTATACCATTCATCCTTTAAAAGCAGTTTGGATATCCGAGATACCTTAGTGAAGGAAAGCTTGTCAGAGAAACAAGCCAATACTTAACAATCAAAATACAAATATATCAAGGTGTTCTTTTCTTTTTGCTCTTTATCTTTAAATGTAAATAGGAACAGTGATCTTGCCTTGAAATATCCTACCACTAGCTAGATAAAAAAACATCTGCTTTGGGAGGAAATCAATGTTTTGCAATTGAAATCATGCTATTTATATTTACCTCTTAGCTGTGAAAATCAGACTGCCAAGCACAAAAGGCATACTGAATCACCATTAATATGCATGCAACCAGAAATGGATAGTGAAATGCAGTAGGAGTGGGCATAATTCACTGTATTCTGATCAAACAGGTGCCAGTCTTGAGATGTGGAAATTCATTCTAAACTATCACTTCAAAACACTACAGTCTGCTATATTTAGATCTTTGGAGTACTCTGACAACTAAGTTAAATTCTGAAAAGCATATGAAAATGCCTGAAAAATACTCATCACTGCAAATGTGGAAAGTTTTATTCTGCAGATCCAAGCGTAGGTAAATTATCTATTTCCCATACTGTTTCAAATCATGTAATCACAGAATGGTTTGGGTTGGAAGAGACCTTAAAAATTATCTAGTTCCTATGCCCTGCCATAGTCAGGGACACCTCCCATTAGACCAGATTGCTCAGAACCCCATCCAACCTGGCCTTGAACACTTCCAGGGAATGGGTCAGCCACAACTTCTCTGGGCAACCTGTGCCAGTGCCTCACCACTCTCACAGTAATAATTTTCTTCCTAATATCTAATCTCAACCTGCCCTCCTTCAGTTTAAAGCCATTACTCCTTGTCCTATCAGAACATGACCTTGTAAAAAGTCCCTCCCCACCTCTCTTATAGATCCCCCATTAGGTACTGAATAGTTTATGTACAAAAAAGTTGACATGCCAGAAGAACAATGTGAAAAAGGCACACTGGCAAAAAAACCTGTTGCCATAAAGGAGCACAGAGGTTTATTTATATAACAAAGATCATCATCTCTTTGCTCTCCTCCCTCAGTTGTTGGCTATTATTTTGCATCAGCTGCATATAGGAAGCCCTAACAAGCTCAGACACTTAATTCCAAGTTTCATTAGGGAGGCAAAGCTTAACTGATACAAATCTTTCCGAAATTAATGGACCCCCAAATGTAAGCAAGGCCTCAAATGAATGGCAGACATATCAGAAGAATTATATTAATAATTAACCAAGCAATTATTACTACATGATTAATTATATTAAATTATTTATTTCAATAAATACTATAGATATTAAATCATTAAAATATAATTAATGAAAATAAATGGAGTAGTATTTCACAGGTGGACAAAAGCACTTTATACTTTACAATTAAGTTACTGCAGAAAATACAGATACACAACCTTCAAAAAGTTAAATACAATGGTTTTCTTTGCCAAACAAGCATTGAACTTCGTAGTTCTAAATTCAAAGAAAAATCATATATCATTCTATATTTATCTCTTTTTCTTCTTGAACTGAAGCTCTGCTTAGCTGGGCAGGAGTGCTGCTTAACAAAGACATTATGGAAAGCTACTGTGGTCCATTGGCTTTACTGCTTCAGGCACCTTCTTAAGTGGGGACACCTTGCAAGCAGGTGCTTAGCAGCCCTTCCAGCAGCTTGTCCACCTTGCTGCTCCTCCTTATTTATTTATCACAGACTCAGCTGGAGGCAAGACCTGAAGAAGCAGACAGTGAAAAGCAAATATGTCTGTTCACAGACCCCTTTTCTGATCAGGACTTTCTGTTCCACACAGCTTTTACCGAAGTGTGATCTCAACAAGACTTTCTCCCACAGAAGTCAGCATGGAAAGTTACGGTCTCACAGGACCTCAGCAGCTCAAATGAAGAGCTCAATGCCCCTGCTCAAACAGGACTGCTGTCAAATAAGGGAATAGCACAAAGAGAAGCTTACATCCCCAGTGGCACTGGAAAGTCTTTTCTACTCTAACCCAACTGTCTAAAATCAAAAATGTATTTTGATTCTAGTTCCATCATCCTCAGATAACTTTTTCTTCTTCCCATTATTTCATAATAAAATTTAAATTTCCCAAGTTTTTCAGTTTAACAATATCAATTACCCCTTTTGCTCCAAGTACTTTGATGTTACAATTATTTTAAAAATGAAAACAAATTTGTTAAAAATATCTCAACAATGTACCTCTTAATTTTTGAAGTGTACTTTATTGTAACTTTAATCACAATCTCTTACACAGAAACTGAAGTTTCTGTGATTTCAGAAACAATGGAGTCACCAAAAAAAGTTTTGGGAGTTATTGGAGCTGACTTATCTTTCAAAAGATTGCAATTTAAAGGAAAGGTTTTCAAAATAAAAACATAATAAAACAAAACAAACATATTTCCAAGGGTAGGGGGAAAACACTTTGGTTTTAAAGCTTTTTCACTTATTAATTTTCATTTTTTTCATAAAAAGTTTTTATTGGTTTATTTTACTAAACATGTAAAAGTGACAGGAATTTTGATGCTCCCTGGCTTGCTTTATTTTCCTTCATGAGAGTTATAAGCACAACATCATGTTGAACAGAGCAAAAAAGAAGTTACTGGGATAATTCAAATTAAAAACAAAATACAAAGCCCAGTGTCCAGGATGACAGCCTGGATTTTTCTAGAAGATCACTACTTTTCCTCTTGTGCCAATATATAAAGTAAGAGAGTTCAAAAAGGTTAAAGGTTGTCTGTCTCTTTTCACACACAACAGCAAAAAAGTAATTCTCACTTGCAAGCTCAGCAGAGGAAAATGGTTAAGAATATCAGTGAGTCACTGGCACTCTAAAATATAAAGCACCATCAGAGCTAACCACCATATGCTGTAACAAAAGTAGAATGGAAGCTTTGATACGTAAATTATATCCGCAGGATATTTCTAATACAGACATCAGAGGCTTTTAATTCACAAAGCCGTCTGAATTCTATATGCTGATGCATTTCATGTTCAAATTAGTAGTGATGAAATCATCCCATGGTTACTCATGATGCTATGTTAATCTTCCTTTGGAAGTTAAATTTTCAATCAAAGATAAAGAATTTAATTAAAATTTTTATCTTTGGTGATTTTTTTTTTTTTAATTTTGCAGTGCTGGAATGAACTTACATAAGATACCATTATAATCTACATTTAAGTCCCCACAGAACCTCACAAAGAGTCTGAATATTTGAAATTATTATATAGCATGGTACCCCAGGTTGACTACTGCAGTAGTTTCTTCTAATTCCTGTCAGCTTTCACATATGCTACATTGCTTCTCCCCTTTCATTGAATACCTCACTTATGCTGGAAAACCACACAAATATTTGAATACCTCAATGGTATCTCAGGATCCCTGAACAGAAACACCATAGCATTCAGCAAAAATACCAAGTGTGGCCTTTGCAAAGCAGGGAACTGCTTTTGCTGAAATAAGTAGATCATACCTCTGGCTGGACCATCGGTTTGCCTTAAAAAAAGGCAGGATTCAGAGATCTCAATTCTCTGTATACATCAGCAGGGGTAACCTTATCATCATATGCCTCAGTTACTCCATCCCTAAAACAGGGAGTGATACTGACCTGCCTTTCCAAGCCACTACTGTTGAGAGAAAAAGCTCCAGGTGAAGTGGCTTGCATACCACACATGGCAAAAGAGAATGCTTGCTGTGTAAAGGATATTCCCACATACAGGCCTTTTTTTTCCCCCTGCCCCAATTTACTGCAATGTGTTTTAGATGACTGCGACCTTGTATCAAAAGCTCTGTCTTCCTCCTCTGTTCCTTTCCTCCCTCCCCTCATTTCTCACTAGCCCTCCCTGGATGTTACAGCTCTTACCTCCCTAGCTCTCATGATGGGACCACACACAGTAATGCAATTAATGCAATCTTTCAGGAATCTCTTTTCCTGAAAGACAGAAGAGAATTACAGATCAAGAGAAGGTAGCCCTTGTACGCTGTATCTCATCTCTGCTTTCATTTCACTGTGCCTGTGTGTCTTGGGTACATTCCCAATTTTGTGTTGTCCAACGCCACACGGAGGCAAGAGAGGCAAAGTTCTTTGGTCTCACCCACATGAGGCTCTACACAACACAGTGGTCAACCTCAGACTGCTCCTGGGAGCAACTCGAACATTCAGCCATGCAGCTCCTATTCCCTGTTCCAGGGAAACATAACAGTGACCAAAAAACTACCAACATTCTGTTCCTGGTTGCTTATCTTATTTGCCCTTTGCTCTTCTGCTCAAACACTGACTCCTCTGGAAGTGGGAAAAACACACTTAAATGCCTGATGCAAAACAACTGGCGTGTGTTGGCCTTGGCCAGCTCCAGCCACCTGCCCCAATGCTCGCTCACTCCCCCCTCCTCAACAGGGCTGGGGGAGATAAAGAGCGGGAGATCACTTACCCATTTGCATCATGGGCAAAACAGACTCATCTTCTGGGAAAAATAATTTATTGCAAATTAAAAGAGTCCTGAAGAGGGAGAAACAAATACTTTTTTATTCCTCCACTCCTACCTTTTACCCAGGCCCAAATTCACCCCCAACTCCTCTGCCCTTCCCACACCCCAAGCAGTATGGAGGTTTGAAGGCTGGGGGGATATGGTCAGAGCTTCTCTCAGCTCTTCCTCCCTCCTCACACTTTACCCCTGGCTGCAGTGTGGTCTCTCCACAGGCAGCAGGGAAGTACCTGCTCCACTGGGATCTCTCCAGGAGAACCTTTGCTGGGGTGCCTGGAGCACCTTTCCCCACCTCCTGATTTCAGGAGTGAATCACATCCACGGGAACTACCTCATTCAATCAGATCCACTTCACACCAGTGTCTGACCTGTCCTGCTAATGGTGACCAGTTCACATTACGAGGGCATTTTAGCCATCAGCCACATAAGGACTGAAAGTTCACCTAACAAATCCTTCTGTTTCCTTCCAAGGTCCAGTCGGAAACCTTTTGAGGCTGCTTTTCTGGGAGCACTACACTTGAAGCACTGACAGGATTATCTGCTCTGACCTTCCCCTTATGTTTCAGAGCCCACAGAGCCCTGAGGTGATCATCAGCTCCACAGTACCACTAGTTCCATGAAAATGTCCTTATTTTTGCCTCCCTGTTTACTCCACTTCCCTTTATTACTGCTTTCTCTTCCTAGATATCCCAGTCAGTCTCCATTTCTCACTCTTACAATGCCTAAGATTCAGCCCACCACTCAGAGAAACACAGAGACAACTGGGCAAATTGGGCAATTGCTCCAACCTGCCTTCATGCTTCCAAATTGAACCCTCACCTGACTTTCTTCATCTTGCAGCCTGCAGAATGAAGAAAGTATCCCTTCCCAGCCACACCATAAGGTAATCTCACAGATCAACTCTGTCTCTTTTCTTGGAGCTTCTGCTGTGCTCTGGCACAGCTCTCCTTCATCAGTTCCTCAAGGAGTTTGACACTGTGAGCGGGTATGTCCTCCTATTCTGCTTCCACCTGAAACCTTTGAAGTCCCAGATACACATTCGATAGCTGATTTTGGCTCCCAATAGCCCATGAATCTATTCTTCTGACAATGCAGCTAGCTTTTCATGGTCAAAGCCGCCACTGAAAAAGATCTCTTCACAGTTCCTGAGTTTTGATTTTCTCCCCCATTTTGTCTTCCGAGGTTTTTTCTATCCTACAGTACATGGATTATTATTTCACTTCTTTTGGTATTTTATCTTCATTCAGTACATAGTATATCATCTTCATTTGTCTTCAGTTTTGTTCTAATACCTCTTAATAGTCTTTTCCCATCCAACAAATCATCAGCCAGGTTGATGTCCTTGCTCTCCACCACGGGAAAATTGCCAAGTTTGAAATAGATTTCTCCTCTACCTGTCTGTCTCTTCCTCTGTCTTCTGTTTGGTCATGCCCCAGGCATTCATTACTGTTGGCTCTGCTTACCTGAAGTTTTCTGTACTGTTTTTTCTTCTTTAATACGTTTTTAGAGGCTGGTTAGAATGCTACCCTTACCTTTGGTGACTACTGACACACTACTGACCTTTAAAAACCTTGTTTTGGGAAGTCTGTGTCTCAGCTAGCAATTTCTGTTCCTAACTATGCAAGCATATTTCTTCCTGCACACATATTCACAGTCTCTTTTTTCTCCACAGGCAGCCTGAAGTGCTAACTCAGTATTCATTGTTGTCTACTTGCACAGCTTTTGGGCTTAAAATCTGCCACAGAAACTGTCCTGTTTGCAGGCTTCAAAGCTAACTGGAACAGTCCTGTCAGCAATTACAGCTGTATTCTGGGTTCATTTCAGTAGCATTATGTCCTAGTATTGTAAAAATAATGCCACAAGGGAACCAACATGACTGTATTTATACTCATGAAGTTGATCATTCTATGAATGAATTGGACCCAATGAGGGCACAATTAGAAAAGTCTCAATTTGAGAGTCAACAGTAAACATTTGGCTCTTAGAGTCAGGCAAAGTAATGCTTCAAAATCCAGAAAGCAGTCCTTTCTGATGCAGTGCCTCAACAGCAGGCACAAAACATATGATTTCATTCCCTACAGAAGATGCAGGATTTGAGCTATTCCCTGGAATATTACCCAGAAAAGGATAAAATCCACAATGATTACATTTTTAAGCCCTGCCTTCTCAAATGTGACCAACCAATAGGAATCACAATCGAGTGAGGCCAAAAATGAGGATAATTAATGCAATGTTTCCCTTGAAGTGGGCTGGACATTTTGGTGAATATAAAAATAGATGATAGGAACTTCTATTAAACATAAAGGTGGTCATCAAGTCCACAAAGGCAGTATAACCTTTTTTTCCTCTGGTCTAAGACCACCACAGCTAACAGCAAATGGCAAATTGATCTAAGGACTTCAGAACTCTGCATGGTATCTGCAAGAATCCACATCAAAAAATTTCTAACACAATGTCTATTTGAGATGGTCCTGCAGAGAAAACTCTAAGTCAGCATTTTCTCCAAAGAAAATCTTTCCCCTAAAGCAAGGACTCAATTTTAAAAATGAAGAGTTGATAAAAGGTGAGAAAAACAGCAAACTTCTCATTTAATGAGGAGTTTAACAATGAATAATCATTGAAGAATAAGATGAATTGGCTATGCATCAGCATAAAGATAAGCCCCATATTGTACCAAATACCTGACAAAACAGAACCTCAAACTTCTATTTATTGTCAGAGGAAGAAGATGACATATGACTTGCACTTGACTTTAGAAAAATAATAGCTTTTAGGATTTTCTTTTTGGGCATGAATTCAGAGACCATCAGTATTTAGATGTTTGCATCAAACAGACAACAGGATATACTCTAGCTAAGTTTTTAGCAAAGTTTCAATGTGTGGGTGGCTGAGGAGGGGTTATAGTAATTTCTGTTGTCAGAAATAAAAGATTTGCACTGAACACACTGAGCTGTGCCTTACTTACTGAGAACTATTGAAACATCTGCTTTACTCCTGAACTCCACAACCCAGCAGTGCTCCAGGATTACCACTTCAGAGGCATCAGAGCTCTGTGAGACAAAGATGACAAAACATTAGGATTTGGAACCTGACTGGGAAGTCCTTCTGTTTGGCTGTTCACAGCTGATGCAGCACATAGATAGAGAGACAACAAAGAATAACCAGGCAGATGGATAGAGGCATTCTTTAATTACTGATCTGTGCCATACTACTTCAGCTAGATTAGTTATAAAAGGAATAAACTTTTAGTAAAGACTATGCAGGAAAGTTTAAAAAGTAACTCAGTAGTTTTTTGTGTTTTTTTTCATACTTCAAGTATTCAAAAGCTTAGATGCCATTTCACTCCTAAGCAAGTCAGGCAAGCCCAACTCATTCAAACTTCCATATTTACTAATAAGGCTGAATCAAATGCCAGATTCTATTCAAAGAGTAGGATATTTTTCAAGTGAACAGGATAACGCAATCTTTGAGAAGGCATTTCTCTTCAATTTTTATTTGAAAGGGATTTCTTTATCTTCACTTGAAATTTCGAATATGGTCTCTGGCTATGCAATTCAAATGACATTAAGTGATATGGACCCATTGCAGAGTGCAATAGGATACAAATTACCACTATCATTTTTTGTGAGTGCTTTGCAGAGGAGATGCAGACTCTCCTAGTTTAGTACGTGTGACTCATTTTTCAGAAGAGTAAAGCTATCAATCACTCCCTCAGAATTAATCTTTTTTCCCCTTAAAGCTTTTATTATCCATTTTTTATCCCTAACATCTGGATACAAATAACCCTTTAGAGCATGCAACCATTCATTCCCTTCATTCCAGGTTTCCAACATGAACATCACAGAGCTCATTCTCTAACCCCTGCAGAATCTCATGGAAGTAATGTAAAATCTTATTTTAACATTCCTTCCTCAGGTGCTACTTTATTCCAAGTGATCCTAAAGATGAAAAATTTTTCATATCCTAGACCTATTTTACCAAAAGCCTGAAATTTAGTTTCACACACCTAACACTTAAAGAATTACTTCATAAACCAGTTCACCTGCCTTGTCTATCCCTTTCTTGTCTATCCCTTTCTCTGCATTTACATTGTGTTGTTTGGCCTGCCAGAAGCAGACTCGAACTTTTTGCCTAGAATTTCATGTTCTTTTCAAGTGGATGCGTTGCCCCTGCATTTTCTCACAAAAGGACTCCTAACTTACCTAGTAATACCACTTTCTTTCATGAGCAAATTAGTGAAAATTTAGTACACTAAGACTGTAAGACTGACTACTAATATAACATGTAACACTTGAAAGTCTAATGATGATTGCCTGGAGAATGTCTATATTTAATCCCTCTCACCTCTTACCCCTTACTAAATGAATACACCAAACCCAGTTATCAAAATACAAAACAACATCCAAAGGCAACAAGAGGTTAAAATAAAACAGAGGAGCACGAAAAAGAAGCACGTTATCTTATATTGATATGTGCCAGAATTCAAGAGAGAAGCTGTAATAGACTAAGAAAAAGCAAGCAGACTTTTCTAGAAACCACTTTTAAATTGATTTCTTGGAAATATTATTCAGGCTGGCTTGGTCTAAAAGGAGAGTATTGTTATGTAGATTGAAAAAAAAAAATTTTTTTAATTAGTTTTTTTAAACTAACTTTTTTTTTTTAAAGAGAGACAAGGAGAAAGTAGTGAAACAATGCAGTGAATTTTGGGAGAAATACAAGTGCTACTTCAGGAACTTTTTAATTTATAGAATCCAGCAAGTCAAGCATCCATGGTAGCTCAGGCGACTCTCAAGTGCTGTCAAGTCAGACATTCTTTGAGGTTCTAACAAGGAAAGCAAAATACAAGTCTTTATGAGCAACAGCCAAAGTCAGTTTGGGAAAATAAGCAATAGTAGTCCAAAAACCAAACAGGAGACTAATTAGAAAGAGTTTTCCACTATTAGCAATGATGCTGGTAACTATTTTAATTCTTTAGATTTTGAAGCGCTGATAAACCCCACTTTTTCAGGTAGATAATGTAGTCTGAAGGTAGAAAGTTTGAGAACATTTAACACTCATCTGTGAATACAGAAACCAAAAAACCTTCTACCTGCTCTCTCAAAAAAAAAAAAAAAAAATTCAAATGATCCTTAACACCTTTTCCACCTTCCATCCCTGCTTTAAATGGTTCTTCTGATGATATTAATGCTCCACAGATGAAATACACAAACATGAGAAGTCCCCAGACTTAACAGGGATGTATGTTTAAGAGGAAATGTTGAGTGAAGCCTGTCACTGTATAAAGAAATGCAACTCCCTCTTGGCCTGGCTTTCAGGCAAGTCAGGTGTTCAGAAAGGCCAGGAATGGAGAAGCACAGCTTCCATATAGTTTGCTACAGCTGCTAAGACTTAAAGAGTTCGTATTTTGATCTGTATATGATAGGCATAACCCAAGCAAATTGGCAAAGGGTTGGCAAAAATAGCTTTCAAATAACAGACAAGAATTTGTGTCAGCGCGGTTTGTCTCACAATGCAGTTGATATGCAACACCATCTACAAACATGAGAGACAGTGAGATTTCAAGCTCTCTACGTTTTAAGACAGCAGATGTTGCAGCACAAGAGCCTCTTTTTATAGACAAGTTACTCCCTGCACCAGTGGAAGCTGGAATGAAGCAATGTTGCCACTTCAAATGAATCTGAGTGCTTTTCCAAGATACACAATGAAGAGCAGTGATCAGAGGACGTGCATTTCCTTTTTCTGTATGTGAGAGGGAATAAGAAGGGAAACAAGAAAAAGGGATGAAAGAGCATAGGGCTACCAGAAAATAAAGCACATGTTGCTGCAAAACATTTCCTATATCCTGACACAAACCTGAAGAAAAATACCTTCAGGATTACTATTATGGCAGACTTATCATCATTTAGATGAGCTATGCTATGCTCTGTCACATAAAAAGCTAACAAGAAATTTACTTACAAATGAAATGACAAAACTGTAATCAAGGAAACCATTATGCATATCTGATAGAGGATCAGCTTTGTTTTTCAATACCTAAAGAGATCAAAAATTTCTCTCATTTCAGTGCATAACATGAGCTCATCTGGACTAGCTCTTATTTTAATTTTTTCTACGTTTTATTTTAATAAAAGGGTAAATCCAAACTATATGGTCTTTATGTGTGGAAAACAGGATCAAAGTCAGATCTGTAATACATTGTGAAGGTCTAATATATTGGGATTTTTTTCTTCCTGCCATTGGTACTCTTGGATAATTGTTTTAAAAACCTAACTGCATCAATCCAGATGCCAAACAACAACTAGACCTTGAACTACTACGTCTTTCTCTAAATACTGAAAAAGTCTACAGGCACTGCACCAGGAAATTATTTCAAAACACTGATTTCAGGATGCAATTCGACGATTCATAGATCTGAATTAAATATTGCAGTGAAACTGCTCAAGAAGAGTCCCCAAATCTAGAATTAGCAGAAACCTTTTCAATTCACTTTGCCAAATGACTGGCCAAGCTTTGCTGTCAGTATGGTGGCATAAAACTAAGGTACTACATTAATAAGTCCATGAGTGTCTGCTGTAACTATGAATTTCAGAGCGCCGAAGACACCCTTATTTCTGTGGAGTCCATGCCTAAAGCTGAAGAGACAATCACATGTATGAACAGGTGTCTGCTAACTGCATTTTCACACCTACATAACTGTACTGAACTGACATCCATCCTTCAAGTATGTTGCTCCAAATGCACAAACTGGAATTTGTGACTATCTTATTGCAGACTCCAGGCCTGCAATGTTTCTTTGGACTTGGGGAGAAAAAAAAAAAAAAGGAAAGAAAGCTTTCAAAAAATGAAAGCACTGGAAAACTTTTAAAATGTCAAAGCGAACAGCACGTTTCAGCTATTTTTGCATTCATATAAATCTGACTCCATGTACCGCTGTGGGAGGGGGGAAGAAGTGTGTCATTGTGAACTGGTTTTACAATAGGAGATTTGCTGGAGGCAGAGAAGGGGAAAATCTACTGCTAGGTATGGTATATCACGTAAAGAACTAAACTGACAGTTAAAATTAGAAGTGAGATTCCTCTGTGTTAAAACAGTTAAGTAGAAAAGTAAAGCTATAGCACTGTAGAGAGAACAAACACTACAGAAAGTAAAATCTCCTCTAATAAGACATTATTAAAATCCTCCACAGTCAACTGGGGGCGAGGGTGTGCATGTAGTGTGTGTGAATTTCACAGCTTATTTCTTTTAAAAGCATATTTTCACAAACTTGAAATATTTAAAAGCCTTATAGACTAGAGGTGCTACATACACCAAACTACTTAAGTTTTTTTTCACATCAGTTATTTTCTGCCTCCAAAATTTAAAATTATTCTTATGATTAAAAATAATTAAAGATAGAATTTTTACAGAAAGGCACCAAAACATATCTGAAATGAAAAAAAATATAGTCACACATATGTAACACAAAAGGCTATGCAGCAGAACACTTTCAAAATGCAAATGCTGAGAACTGGTTTCAGTTCTTACTTGCTATTAAAGAAAATATTTGCAACAGAAGAGTTTGCCTGAAGGGACTGGTAGCAGCAGGTGAAGTTATTTTGAATCCGCATCACCTCTCTCACCTCAAACTGCAAAGTCATCACTGTCCCCCACTTATTAGAAGGCAGATACAATGGAAGTCTTAGAGGAAGAGATGGTGACTGAGGAAGCCTGAAAGACCAGGTATTTGGGCATCTACAAGGCTGCTGTCAGTAATACACAGGCTAAGAGCTCACCTTGCAGCAGTGGAGAGCAAAGTGAGGTGCCTGCTCCTCATGAGGGACCCTTCCCTAGTTCAACCATGTGGCTACAACCCAAGCATGTAAAACCGGCTCAGAAAAATCTCAGTGCCCTCAGACTCCTACCCAAGGCTGGCTTTTCCAGGAATAGAGCCAGAAGACGGTGAATAGATGGATGGGATGACACGGACACCACCTCTTGGCACGCCTACAGTGTGACCAAAGGTCTGAAACACGTGATGGCACTAACGATAGCTCAGCGTCAACCTAACTGG